ATTTCCACCAAAATTGTGATAGATAATTGGTGAGTTACATAGATTCATGAAAACAGCAGTTTCTCTTTTTGTAAGATAAAGTGGTGACAGTGAATATTTCTGTCCCATATCCTGTTATCTTGATTTTGGAGTTTCATGCTAAATTTTATGACACTTGATACCTCTTAGGAGTGTTTTCACCTGACTAATTGTTTACTACATAATTTTTATAGAAGTAAAAAATAAGGCGAGGCGCGGTGGCTCACACATGTAATCCTAGCACTTTGGGAGGCTGAGGTGGGTGGATGACCTGAGGCCAGGAGTTCAAGACCAGCCTGGCCATCATGGTGAAACCCCATCTTTATGTAATTAAAAAAAAAAGAAATAATAAATAATGCTTCTATTTTCAGAAAGAAATAGATGGTTTTGCTTTTCTAATTGAGGTATAAAATGTAAACACCATAAAAATTTCTCTTTTTATATGAACAGTGTGTTTGAATGATTTCGCTGGATTTTTCAAATAGTTTCAAAAACCAAGGGAATAAATCTGACATGAAAATTAAAGGTAAAGCCCAGTGACACCAAGCTACGGCTAATATTAAACCTACAATGATTATAATCCCAGCACTTAAGGAGGCCAAAGCGGGTGGATCACGAGGTAAAGAGATTGAGACCATCCTGGTCAACATGGTGAAACCCCGTCTCTACTAAAAATACAAAAATTAGCTGGGCATGGTGGCACATGCCTGTAGTCCCAGCTACTCTGGAGGTTGAGGCAGGAGAATTGCTTGAACCCCAGAGGCGGAGGTTGCGGTGAGTTGAGATCACGCCATTGCACTCCAGCCCGGGTAACACGAGTGAAACTCCATCTCAAAAGAAAAACAAACAAACAAAAAACCTACAATGAAAAGATTATTTAAGTCCCAGTTAGTTCATTCTGGGAAGCCTACCCTGCAGATATCCCAGCCTGCTCACCCCAGCCTTGGAAGAAGCCTTTATCCTAAGAGAAGCTAAAGAGCCTGAAATGCTGGGGACCGTCAGGCAAATGCAGTTAAGGTTAAGATGAAAGGAAACTGGGTGCATCTTACTGATGATGAAGTTGTTATTGTATTGAGGCACTTTCTAGACTTTATAAAATAATACAAAGACTTATGTTAAAAAGAAATTGAATTCCAAAAAATATTGCAACAAGAGGAAGTACCAACTATCAGATCTTTATGGCTTGTAAAGTTAGGCAGACCAGGGCTTTCTTTCCTAGGGAGGAGCAAACAAGATTAGAAAGAAGGTGGGAGGGGAATGGCAAATGGAGGGTGAAAAAAATCAGATTTTACTGTTTTAGTAAACATGGAGTAATAATCTAATTTACTTCAGGCATAACATGAATTCTAGCATATTGTTTGAAATATCTTATTCTAAAATTACAGACAAGTTTGAAATGGAAAATAGAAAGCAAAGATGTATAGGGAGAGTAACATCAGCAACATGGAAAAATAAAAGCGTTCTACTTTCTTATGCCCCAACAGCCAGAAAATTTGTCAGCTATCCAGGTCAAAAATGCCTTTATGACAGAGCCAGGAATCATGGCTCACCCCTGTAATGACAGAGACATGGCACACTGAGGTTGAAGAATTGCTTCAGGACAGGATTTCAAGACCAGCCTGGGCCAAATG